TGGGTGAGGCACATGGCTTAAAGGAGGAGATAAGGCTCAAAGCTGGCAGCTGCAAATCCTGCTGAGCAAGGTTGAGTGTTGGGCGGGCTGAGCACTCCACAAATGTCCAATTGGGCTGAAATTTGGATATGTTGTAGTAGACACCCATTGGAACAAGTTTTATGAAGATCTTCACCTCATTCGAGCCCCATAGCATGCTGATCCAAGGCCAAGAAGTTGACCTACGAAATTGGGCTGGAAAGGGGTTGTAGCCAAAATGTGTTTGTCTTTAAGCTCATATTCCTCATATGCCAATCAGCCCTTAACATGCATGGATTGCATCAAATGTTATCTCTTGCTATCTTAACCTACAAAACACACAAACATAGGTAAGTGACTCAAAATAAAGAGAAACTAAGCAAAATCACTAAGTAAAGAAGGCATGCAAGTGTATGAAATTATGGACTTATCAAAATAGAAAATGAATTAAAAGCACAAGTTTAACTCAATAACATAACCAAATCATAAGCTAGAAGGGTACAAAATGATATACAATTATGAACCGATCACCTCTTTGAGACAGAGAGTCACCATGCCAAGAAGACCGTCAATTTTCAGAGAAGAAGTCGTCATTGTTGCGGAGAAAACGAAGGAAGCAGAGATTAGGTTTCAGATTGAGAATTTGCAGAAATCAGGTTTCAGATTGGGATAAGGCTGTCAATTTTCAGAGGAAGCAGAGATTAGGTTTCAGATTGTTTCATATTGGGATAGAAGAATCGAAATAGAGAAAGAGCAAACACAGAGAAATAGAAGGAGAGCAATTGGAGAACAAAGAAGGCACAGAGGGATTAGGATCGAACCTAGGCTTTTGATACCATGCTAACAGAGTTGAAGGAAGAAGACAGAGAGAGTTCTAGAATATTCATAGAGAGGAATTCAGAGAAAATATTACTTTTGATTTCTGTATTTCTCATTGAATGAATCCAATACACATGGGATTACAGACTTTATACTACAGCAAAAATCACATGGATTATACTAACAATCTAACCATAATGACACGTCAGCTAACAACCTTCCAAGCTCACTAACCTTTAGCCAAACAATAAAGTTTTTATTCAATCTATCCAACTTCCGACGAACTGTTATAGGTAATTTTACCGTCTGCATAGTATAAACTGGAATAGCAGCAGTAACAGACTGGACTAGAGTCACTCTGCCAGCCATAGAAAGGGATTGAGTCTTCCATGTCGCAAGTCTTCTTTGGACCTTATCAACAATACTCCAATAAGTCCCCTTACTGACTCTTCCATGAACTAGTAGAACACCCAAGTATCTTCCTAAGTCAGTGGTTAAGGGAGAACCACATAATTAAGAAACCTTTAGGGCTTTAAATTGGAGGAAATTAAACTCAGAAATCTCGACTCTCAATTTCCACGATTTTTTCCTTGCGATATTTGATAAGTTCCGTGCTTAAGTTGCCAAACTATGGAAATATCAATTCTCCTATGCAATTCCTAACTTTTAGCTAAATCTCGAGTTCTTTTCCTCCATCTAAATGGAAAGTTTGGGTATTTTAGATCTGGTGGGCTGATTCTATGTAGGAAGAATGATAATATGCTGATTCTATGTAGGAAGAATGATAATATGATTTAAAGTCCAACCACTAGAATAAAACCACTTGAAAAAGGTGAAAAACAAATGAAATTGGTTCGGTTGGGTCGAATTTGCATATTTTAAGTTGCAGGCTAAATTGATTCAACCGGATCTAATCGGTCCGATTCTTCCGGTTTTTTGGTCCAAATACCCAGCCCCCAAACATACACACATAATAATATGGTGAGGGATGAAGAGAAATGGTGCAGTGAAACCCCAAATGAGAAGCGCACATAAAAACACCCATTGCTGCATTTCCCGCGAGTTCTCCGCAGCAGCGGCCAAGAACGCCAACAAAATCGCCGTCGTGCACACCTCCGGTGGGGCCCTCCTTTCCCCACAACTCCGTACCCGCACCTCCATCGAGGATGCTGCTCCTGCTCCCGTCCGGCGACTCCTTTATGACGGCGACCACTCCTTCACCTACTCCCATCTCTTCTCAGCCGTCGGTTCACTCACCTCCCAGCTCCTCTCCACCCCTAGACTTCCCTGTAATTACAACAAGCCCAGCCGGAGAATCTTCGGCTTATACATGCCGCCCTCGGCGGAGTACATAGTGTCCGTGCTTTCAGTTTTGAGGTGCGGAGAGGCCTTTCTGCCTCTGGACCCTTCGTGGCCCAAACAGAGGCTACTTTCGGTAATCTCGTCGGCCAATGTCGACCTCATCATCGCCTGCACGACGCCGTTCGGGTTCGAATCCGACTCGAATTGGCTACCGGAGGCCTGCGGTCGTCGCGTTTTGTGGTTCTCAATGGAAGAGCGTAAAAATGGAGGGATCGATTGGCATTGGGCTTGCAAATGTGAGAGTGTGAAGGAGAGGCCGTGCTGGTGTTATTTGATGTACACTTCGGGTTCGACTGGGAAGCCGAAAGGTGTGTGTGGAACTGAGCAAGGTCTTTTGAATCGGTTTCTATGGATGCAAGAGTTGTATCCACTGTTTGGAGACGAGGTTTTGTTGTTCAAGACAGGGATAAGCTTTGTTGATCACCTGCAAGAGTTTCTTAGCGCTATTCTCACTGGTTGTACTTTGGTTATACCTCCTTTCAATCACCTTAAGCGCAATGTGTTTTCGCTTGTAGATTTTCTACTGGTACACGGCCTTTCCTTCATGCTTTGTTTAGATTTTTGAGCTCAGATTACAATGGTGAACTAGGATTTGCAACCTTGTTGTTACTGAAATACACCATTGATAATTTGACGAGTCATATAACTAAACAATCAATTATGTTAGGTGACTTCCAATTCCGTAACCGTCTTGCATTCGGCTGGTTTGGCTGAGGAGTTTTAATTTTTAACTAAGAAACTTTTTCAGTATAAACAAATAAAAAAATTCTTGGTGCAACTTCACAATATATCCCATTTAATATTCACACCGTACTTGTTATGCAAACCTTTACTTCTTTTCAAGTACTTTCATATGCTGAAAGCTGATCACAGTTCATTATTTTCAAACAGTAGTTACATTATACTATTGAAGTTACTTATAAGTTGATTCCTTTTATTTTTATTTTTTATAATTTGGAGTTTTCTTGTAGGCTTACTCTGTCAATAGACTTACTGCTGTTCCATCACTTATGAGAACAATACTTCCATCTTTACAAGGTCAAGATGACGAGCAGCTTCCAATGTCATTGGATTTGTTAGTGTTAAGCGGCGAAGTTTTGCCTTTATCCTTATGGGATATGCTCTCCAAGATATTACCGAGGACCACTATTTTGAATTTGTATGGGAGTACTGAGGTTAGAGTTTAGAACTTACTTCGAATTTAACACTATCCGTTTGATTAGATCTCCAACAGATTAGGTCGAATCATATTGTCTGGTTGGACGAATATGAAATTATTTGCATTTCCTTGTTAACTCATTCTGTTTTTTTACTAATTTATATTATCTACTTTGCAAAATTTGACAATCTTACAATTTAGATACTGTCGTGTTTATTATAGAAAAATTCTAGTTTACGTGGCTTGTGTGTTTTTCCCTCTGCCTCATTTTCTTGTGTTGGATTGTAACACTAATCTATACATGTTATTGGAGTGGCACCTTCTGTTTTCGATTTGGCTGTATAAAACTGGCAATGCCTAAATCAGTGCCTGAGATGCTTGCTTGTTGTTTCTAAGGATGCCTTCATAAACACGAATCTGTGCTATCTGGAGTGCAGTTCCTTTGTGGGATATGTGGTGCTTGTATCAGGAAAGAATTTTAAGGTCAAGAAGCACCAGTGATTAGATCGAGTTTTCATTTGGTCAGAACTCTTTGAGTGGAAAGTGGGTGAGGAAATAAGAAGGAAGGCCTGTGATTACACCTTCGGTGGGGGTTGCATCTTGCAATCTCCAAGAAATATAGGTTTTCTAAGCAATTGTTTTGTAAATTTCTCCATAAATATCATACAATTTTTAGATGTATTCCTGCTACATATTGTGGATTGCAGTTTTTCCTACTACTAGGGGTGGAAGGGCTTGTTATAGCATTCTGAAATGCTTTGCCATGTCTTTGATTGTTTTGACTTCTATAGTTGTCATTTCCTCGCAAAAGTTTTGTAATATTTTTACATTACTGATGATTGTCTGTTTTCAAGTACTCTGAAGTGGGCTCAGTTTGTCACGAGAAAATCCTATATCTATTTGTACATCTTTTGCAGGAACAGTATATCTTCTATTTGATAAATGCTGTGGCATATTCCATGTTGGTCACCTTTTAAATTCTGTAAAGCTTATATTAGGATCGACAAAACTGTTATTAGTCATTTCATTATGTATTATCACTTATACTGATACACTTCCTCATGACATATAAGCTACTTCTATTGCATTTCAATATTAATGGCTAATACATAAATTCCTTCAATAATTGCTAACAGGGAAATTGTTAAATTCTAGGTGTCTGGTGATTGTACATATTTTGATTGCAAGAGATTGCCATTGATTTTGGCGGCAGACCCACTAACAACTGTTCCAATTGGTATGCCTATTGTTAATTGTGACGTCGTACTTATTGGTGGTGATGATGTATCCAATGAGGGAGAAATTTATGTCGCTGGTGTATGCAATTCTTCTGGATACTATTCTGATTCTATAGTTACTCCTTTGGACACTGTAAAGTTGTCTCAAGATTCTGTTTGTTGCAGTTCTGTAAATGGACATAAAAGTCAATATTATTTTCGGACGGGTGATTTTGCTAAACAGCTTCGTAGCGGTGACTTGGTTTTCTTAGGTAGAAAAGACCGTACAATTAAGCTCAATGGGCAGCGTATTGCTTTAGAGGAAATTGAAGATACAGTGAGGGGACATTCAGATGTAATTGATGCTGCTGTAATTTTTCATAAAGTTCAAGGGGAACTTATGCTACTCGTAGCATTTATAATATTAAGAGAGGGAATACCCAAGGAAATATTCAGAGCTACCATCAAAAGTTGGATGGCTGACAAACTTCCATTAGCAATGATTCCTGGCCACATTGTTGTTACTGAATCATTTCCTGTATCTTCTAGTGGAAAAATTAACTATGAGTTGTTGGCAGACTCAGTATTTCTTGCAAAGCATGTCCAAGATGGGCTTGGTGACATTGGGAGCAGCAACCTACTGCAACTAGTAAAAACGGTTTGCTCTTTACCCTCATAATAATATAATCGACCTTTTATTCTTTTCTTATGTTTGCTCGGATTTGTTTTGTTGATTTCACCATTCATTTCTGCATCTATTATGGGAAGGTTTTTTGTGTTTGTGTACATCCCTTGTAGGATGATAAATACTCTATCATATCTAAATTTTGATTATCTTTAAATTCATACTAACTATTTGTTTCTTCATCTAAGATTAATTCCTTTTTAAATTTTCAACAGGCCTTTAGAGATGTTTTAGGTGTTGAAGAGATTTCTGATGATGATGATTTCTTTACTATGGGTGGAAATTCTATTGCTGCTGCACATCTTTCTAATAATATAGGAGTTGATATGCGATTGATATATTGCTTTCCAAGTCCATCCATGCTTTGTACTGCTCTTTTAGAGAGAAAAGAATCATTGAATATAAACGTCAGTAGAGATGCTAAATCAAAGATGAATCTGGAAGGGGGTAAACCAAGTTTTTTTCATGTTCACTCTGACACTCCTGCTGCAGTAAATTTTGATGAGCAGAGGAGATTACTAAGAACTCTTTCTGGAAGAAGTGAAGATAATGCAATTATCTCTAAACGCTTGAAACTGGATTCAAACATAAATGTTGCTGGTGGTAGTAGTCCAGCAAATGGGTATCCATGGAATTCTGTGGCAATATGTGCGTCTTGTTCTTTTAGCCGGTGCAACAAAGTTGTGTATGAAGGTGGGTCCATGGTGAAAGATATTTGTCAAGCAACCTGTTCTGTGATGGTCCCGAAAAGTAGAAATGTTCCTATGCAAGAATCATGGAAAGTTTACATGGGATCATGTGTTGATGCATCACCAATTATTGTTCATAAAGGCCAGGATATCTACTTATTTATTGGATCACACTCACATAAATTTATGTGTGTTAATGCCAGAAGGTAAGGTATATATTGTAGTTTCTGAATACAATCATATTATTGCCATAATTCTTAGAAAATTTCGGATGCATTTAAAGTATTTCTTAACCACTCAGCATGAAATATTTATCTTTCTAGTGTTTTATTGTTACATAATTTGCCCTAGTGGTTCTGTCCAGTGGGAGATAAAACTAGAAGGACGTGTGGAATGCTCAGCAGCAATTCTTAGTGACTTCACACAGGTTGTATTTGAAAAAATTTTTGTGCTTTGAACTTCATAAGTTATCTTTGAATTAGCTCCATGGGGGGCATTTTGATCTTTCTCATGTGGGGTATTGCTTTAGGTTGTAGTTGGATGCTACAGAGGGAAAATATACTTCCTTGATTTTTTGAACGGTAACATCTGTTGGACTTTCCAAACATCTGGTGAGGTAGGATTGTTCTAACCTACTATTGTTGTTTCTTTTATATGTTTTCGTTTTCACTTTTATTTTCCATGTCATTTGTATTATGATTGATTTCACATAATTTCTTACTGCAGGCATATTAGTTATTTTACTTTTCTTATAATTTGAATCTTGATTTAAATTCTGTATATATCTATATGTTAATATATAGATAACCCATGTATTAATTTTTTTTTTATCTGCTGTTATGGTTGATGCATTTATAATTTGAAGGTAAAGTCACAGCCTGTCATAGACAGTCAGAGACAATTGATCTGGTATATTTCTGAGACCTCCTTGCCTTTTTCTTCAAATAATTTGAACAGTGTTTTGCTTACATCAATTGTGCCCACAAACTAACTATTCCATTTATAATGCTAATTGAATCAAAAGATAATTTGTTTCTTGGTTCTGTCTTTTATTCTATCCTTGGCAATCCTTTTTATAAATGCCTTACTAACTATGTATGTTGGACTGGGAAAGTGAACAAACTCGTCAGAAATCTAAGGATCGTAGAGAAATCCTCTCTAGAAGGACCTTGAGTTCTCAAGGGAAGCTAAGAATATACAATATTGATGCAAATCTCCAAATTCTGATAAATGTTTTTAAAATTTGCGTATACAGTCTTTTGAAAGTGTATTGATGATATTGGTGTAAAGGAGACCATAGCATCCTAACCCTTGATTGCTTAGATAGATATTTAATCCTACCCTCCAAAATACTTCAAAACTGACATGACTGTCACATGGCTATTTAAAAGAGACAAGGAGCATAACTAGTTGGCCAAGTAAAATAAAACATCAGGAACTAAATTCCTATCCAAGCAAATCATAAGAAAATAAGAAAACAATTAAAACCCTAGCCAAGTTGGACGGTGGATTGCTGATATGCTACATCAATTGTTCATGTAAACAATATCTGATAAAAAGAATTGAAGAAGGAACTGTTCATTTTAACACTGAGAATCTTAATTCCTGTCTGCAACCTTTTCGGTCGAATGAATATTTGTTTGCATGGAAAGTTCTCTATGCAACTTTATTAGTGAACTGCTAGCATGTCCAAGTAAGCAGTTCGCTTCCAAAAATTTCTGGTCTTGTGTTTTGCGGTAGAAAGATTTCTTTAGTACCTAAGGCTCGGCTGAGGTGCAAAGGGAAGTTGAGTTTGGGATAGTTTATGAAATCTTGTCAGCAAAAGAGGAAAAGAAAGCGGAATATTGTTGGGTAGTGTATACTGCCATATCTCCTTCTTGGCAATGATGTTTGTAGTTTTTGTTTTTGACGTTTCTGTGATTGGACTTCTAACAATGATCATATACTTACAAAGGCGTAGAATTGTTGCAACAATGAAGTTTAGGAACTCTTAGAAAATTATATGGCAGGATGTGGATTTGTGAAGCAATCAAGAGAAAATGGGTGATTGTTATACTCTTTTGTAGTTTCACTACCTGTTTTGAATGGTGAAAAGTTTCTCTTTACTATTTTATTTACAGAACCTACTCTAACTTTGTTTTATTTTTGTTTCTCTTCTGTTGGAAGAGGGGAAAAAAGGAGAATGATCTATGACAAATTTTCTGCAGGTGTGGATCATATGACCATAACTTGTATGCTCTAGATTACAAAAACCATTGCTGTGTATATCAGCTTCCATGTGGTGGGAGTATCTATGGGTCACCTGCAATTGATGAGGTGCGTTGCTAATTTTTTATCCAGGGAAAATCTACTGCAGCATGCTTGGTATATTTTCAGACATTTAATTTTTTTTCCAGTTATAGTATATGAGCTTTTTTCATCTGTAGATAAGTAATGATAAATATAACTGGCCATTCCTGGTAGAGTGCTGTACTCTTGTCAGTCAGAAAACTGTGATAATCTGTTGACATCTGCTTGTCAGTAAATGTGATCTTCTTAGTAATTTTTCTTGCAGATGAATAATATACTTTATGTGGCTTCTACGAGTGGCCAAATGACAGCCATATCAATCGCGGTATAACAAATCTCAAGGTTTATCGTGTAGTTATTGCTTGTAATTTTTAAACGGTGAACCTTGTCTTTGTGAGTGGATTTGGAAAACATGCTAAATCAGAGAATTGAAATTTATTCATAGGAAATTGTAAGAAAATTTATTTGCATACCTATAAACAAAGTTTTAGAAGGTAGAATACAGCTACAAATGCACTTACTATTACCTCTGAAGCTACCTTGACTTATCATATTAAATAGCGCTATGACAATGACCTGCATCAATAGTAATTGGTGCCACTCCCTTTCCCTTCATGATTGTTTATATATCATTTTGTTTCTCAAAATCAATGAACATTACAACTTATTCGACAAAAGGGGAATAAAAAGAGTAGGAAAGAAAGTAAAATGGCGGAAAAGGTGGACCTCAAAGTCTCCCCTGTGGCAACAACTGTTAACCTAGTGGTCTGCCATGCCAGCTCCGCTAATTCATTGACCTAATTAATACCCAGATCTAGAATTTATCTAATCATGTGCTCGCATGCTTTACATATCTCAGTTTCTGAGAGGAGTCACAATCTTTTCCCTCAAGTTCATTCCATTCTAGGCCAGATTTAGTGTTCAAATATTAGTACTGGTTCCCATATTAAGGCTGTTGAGCTTATTATGTCCCAACTATCCTTCGTTGCTCAAAAGAAAAGAAAAAATGCATTGTTTTGATTTATTCAAGTTGAATATTGATTTGGCTTGCAAGCTTGTTATTGATTTGGCCAATCTATTTACAAATTCAGGCATTCCCATTTTCTATTCTGTGGCTGCATGAGCTAGAAGCGCCAGTGTTTGGTTCTCTTGCCATCAATGCTCTGAGTGGAAATAGTATGTGCAGTTCATTTGACTGTTTGGCTATGTATCCATCCTTTGTGATATATGAAAGCTCTCTCATTTATCTTAATCATTTGTTATCATGATTTACATTATCTTGTGTGTTTCTTGACTACCAGTTATATGTTGCTTAGTGGACGGTCATGTTCTCGCATTGGATACAAGTGGATCTGTTATTTGGAGGGTACAATTTTATTTAATACTTTATTTACATGTTTTTGCTTAATCCTTCCATAACTTCATTCTCTGGGTGCAACCTTAGTTGAAAGGGGAAATGACTGACCCATAATTTTCTTGCCCTCTAACATTGAATTTTGCAATGTGACTTTTAGACCCGTTTACCTTAACAGAGTAAAGGAGATTTGATAAAGTGCATTAAGTTGTCAATTTTTTGTATTTTCAAGCACAATGATTGAATACATTTCCCTATAAAATAAATTAAAACAATGAAATTAAAATTAAAATCCTCACCTTTCTCTACCAAGATGTATGACCCTCTGACTTTAACCCATCCTTCTGACTTTAACCCATCTAAATCACCGACATTAGTGTGTTATTTTACTTAAAATAAGAATTTAATTTTAATATGAATTTGACTTGACACAAAAAATATATGTTTCCAATTTCCATATATTTCATTATGTATTGCACAAATGATACTTTTATTTTGAACGTTCTGTTTGCATATTTTATGGCTGAATCCACAAGGTATTTTTGAATGAATCTACCAAATGATACTTGTAAGTTGTATGTATTTTATACATCCTATGTATTATTAACTATGAGTCATCTGAAAGAGAAACTCAGTGTATTACGAACCATGAGTCATGAGAAAGAGCAAACTCAAAAACAATTCTTGAATCTAGTGAACAGAGTTTTCCACTACCTCCAAAGTTTTTGCTCCTCTCCAGAAAATGGTCCATACTGAAGTTCTCCGTTAGATTAGATCAAGGATATATAGTGATGCAGCTCTTTGCCTATATGTGGTGTAATCCTCTAACATGTATGTCGTGGTCATTTGCAATTCATAATTCTTTTTCTTTTTGATGATATTATTGAACAGTATAGAACTGCTGGACCTATATTTGCTGGAGCCTGCATGTCTTCTGCTCTTCCTTTTCAGGTATGTAGTATGGAGTGAATGTTCTGTAGCTAATTCATAATTTATTTATCTTTCTTGAGTCTGCTAAACATTCTCCTTGATGGTACGTAAAGCATACCATGGACTTACTGAGAAAAATAAGAAGCGTCTGCAAGCTTAAGTAGTGGGTGTTTTCAGGAACTTCCAAGTTATAGTTGGATTAGCATGAGGCAGGATTATGACAAACCTTGTAATTGTAACCACTGCAACAACCAAATAGAGAAAAGCAATGAAGAGATGAAAAGCCGAGGTCCTGTTAAAATTGATTGATAATCATTATAATTGGACCTGTCTTGATATTGTCAGAATGTTTTTTAAGTGAATGTTCGTAACGTAGAAATGATAGTAAATATTGGCCATGTGCTCTAGTTTTATGTTGTGAAAATATTTGGATATGTGGTCTAATATATTTTCATATACTAATTCCAGATCTGATTAAATAGTTGCTGTATTTTTTAAGTTTTACATGTCAATTCACAGCACCACTTTCCTCAACCACGTGTAGAATTTGCTTAGACCATGTTGAAGGAGCAGTTGTTAAGATATTAAAGATGTTTTTTTGGGTCTTGGTTATGATTCTGCAGGCACTCATATGCTCTCGAGATGGAAGCATCTACTCACTTGAACTGGTAAGGCCCAGCATCTGTTATGGATGAAAATCTGCTCAATTCTATTATATATGTTTTTGTTTGGCATGTGATTTTCATCTAGTAATTGTGAGATAACTACTGTTAGTTTTTCTGTATTGTAATGATTGAATTCCCTATTTTGAATCTTACCTCGTGCTTTAACCATGAAAGTGACGCTTTTTTTTTCCCCTCCATTTTTTGCTAAAAACAATGGAAGAATTTTATCTCTTCTTACAATTTACCTTTTTCTGGATATTATACACTAATTTTAATCACATTTCCAAAATTTAATGGATCACGTGAACTTTAAGTTTGAGATCTAAGTATAATGTCAGAATCAACATAGCTAACGGCATGACTTTTACGTGGTCTTATTCAATGGCTCCGTGATCATTCATACTCCCTCGAAATTCCTATCAAAGAAACTTCCTCATTAGAATTTATAGTAAAGTTATCAATCACACATGAATGGTTTACTTTCTAAGTAGATCAGTTAGTCTTTGCAAGTCAGGTTTGGCCCATCCAACTTCCAGTATCCATCAAGGCGTGCCCTCAACATTCTTCAATCAGGAACAGTAGGAGTAGGAATGTGATTTAACCATTCTGTAATATGATTAAATTTTTCTAATTTGTTCTAGTAGACATTTTGGAAAATAGATTATGGATTGCCATCGTATTCCCAAGATCCTGTTTATAAAAAAAAAAGAGCTTAATTTATTCATATTCAGTTGATTATAACTAACTGCACATGTGATCACTGCTCTAGGAAACGGGAGATTTACTCTGGCAGTACAATGTTAAGGATCCAATAACTTCATCCGCTTATGTGGATGAGCACTTAAGCTTGGTATCTGATCGATCTAACTTGCCAGACAGGTAAAGAACTACAGAAAGCTCATAAAAGACCCCTGAACTTTATCGGATCATTTTCATATTGATCCACAACCTTTTTTTTCCAGGTTGGTTTGTATCTGTTCCAGCTCAGGAAGTGTCTATTTGCTTCGGGTAAAATCGGGTGTCACCAAAGTGGCAAATGAACTGATAGATGTTGTGGAATTTTCCAGACTGGACCTCGCAGGAGATGTATTTTCTTCACCTGTAATGATTGGTGGCAGAATTTTTGTTGGTTGTAGGGATGATTATATACACTGCATTACTGTGAAGGCCTAGGACCAATAGGTTCTGTATATATGGATTGTGTTAAATATGGCTGTGAAGTCATTTTAGGCCGAATAATTTAAAAAGAAAAATCATTTATCAATTTATCTTACACATTTTAGTCATCATCATTATGAAACTAACGAATGAGGGTTAAGAGAGCAGTCTCTGGCGAAGGAGACAAGAGCGAGGCACCGAACATGTTCTATCACCTTCGGTGTCTCCATCCGGGGTGATCGCCGGGATAAGGGGTTAACAAAAATGCACTATATCATACATTAGATGCCCCCGCATAAAACCTGACCAAAAAAATTTGCCACATAAACCAACAAATTAAAAATGTAGAGGTCTTGCCAACCACACCACACTTTGCTGCCCCTAGGCAGGTCGAATTCCGAGCTGGGATTAATTCCACCCTTCGAGTGTGGGGACATCTCGTGGTATGTACCAAAAATAAAATATAAAATGTAGAGGTATTGCATATACACCAATCCCCCCATATGACTCCAATCCTAATAATGGTTAACTTATGCGGATGAGTTTTTTTTTCATGTTTTTCATCTATGATATTAAACTCTTCTTTAAAATAAAAAACATAAAAAAAAAAATTAATAACCAAAGTAGTATTATCCTCTCCGAACCCAATATCTTCGTTCCCCTTGTGCCAAGAGAGCAAAGTCAAACGTGGGCTCATCAGCTTTAGCAGTGCTCGTCTGCTGTTGGCGGTCAGGTACTGTTCTCTCTTCTGGAACTGAGCCGTTAAATCTTTCGTTCCAGATCGATACCGTACCGCGATTGGGTACGCTCGATCCAGATCGAAATTATTGCATGCTCTGTCCAATCTGATCCACAATTTTGTCTCACTGCATGTGAAATTAATAGTATAATTGATCATCTGTATATATTTTTTTTCATCTTTAGGTTTCCATATCAACGTCATCTCAAGTCTAATCTCTTAGCATAAAAATGGGGAGCGACAATGACAACAAACTCAGATTTTGCATTGACAGAGGGGGAACCTTCACTGATGTTTATGCTGAGATCCCAGGTCAGGCAGATGGACAAGTTTTAAAACTTTTGTCTGTTGATCCATCAAACTATGACGATGCTCCAGTTGAAGGAATTCGGAGGATTCTTGAAGAGTTTACCGGGGAGAAAATTTCCCGTGCTTCAAAAATACCGACTGATAAGATAGAATGGATAAGGATGGGTACAACTGTGGCAACAAATGCACTTTTGGAGAGAAAAGGGGAAAGGATTGCTCTCTGTGTGACTCGGGGTTTCCGGGATTTGCTCCAGATTGGTAACCAGGCTCGTCCCAAAATATTTGATCTCACTGTATCAAAACCGTCAAACCTTTATGAGGAGGTTATTGAGGTTGACGAGAGAGTTGAGCTGGCAAATGATAATCAAGACTCTTCTTCTGCGTCATTAGTTAAAGGAGTTTCTGGTGAGATGGTTAAAGTTGTAAAGCCTATTGATGTAGAAACTTTGAAGCCTTTACTCCAAGGTTTGTTGGAGAAGGGGATTAGCTGTTTGGCTGTTGTGTTAATGCATTCTTACACTTACCCACAGCATGAAGTAGCTGTTCAAAGGCTAGCTGAGAGTTTGGGCTTCAGACATGTTTCCTTATCTTCAGCTTTGACACCCATGGTTCGAGCTGTTCCTCGGGGTCTAACAGCTAGTGTTGATGCATATTTGACGCCAGTGATCAAAGAGTACCTATCAGGGTTCATGTCTAAATTTGATGAAGGGGTAGAGAAGGTGAATGTTTTATTTATGCAATCTGACGGTGGACTTGCACCAGAAAGTCGATTTTCGGGTCACAAAGCTGTGTTGTCTGGTCCTGCTGGTGGAGTTGTGGGTTACTCACAGACACTTTTTAGGCTTGAAACTGAGAAACCTCTCATTGGGTTTGATATGGGTGGCACATCTACAGATGTGAGCCGTTATGCAGGGACTTATGAACAAGTCCTGGAAACCCAGATTGCTGGTGCCATAATACAAGCACCTCAGCTTGACATAAGTACTGTAGCTGCTGGTGGCGGGTCAAAGTTAAAGTTCCAGTTTGGAGCTTTCCGGGTGGGACCAGAATCAGTGGGTGCACATCCTGGTCCAGTGTGTTACAGAAAAGGTGGGGAGTTGGCAGTGACAGATGCAAACTTAGTTCTAGGATATGTAATTCCTGATTATTTCCCATCAATATTTGGCCCCAATGAAGATGAGCCTCTAGATATCAAGGCAACAAGAGACCAGTTTGACAAGCTTGCAAGCCAAATAAATTCCTACCGAAAAGGCCAGGATCCATCTGCAAAGGACATGACAGTGGAGGAGATAGCACTGGGATTTGTAAATGTTGCCAATGAGACTATGTGCCGTCCAATAAGGCAATTAACTGAGATGAAGGGCCATGAAACAAGGAACCATGCCCTTGCTTGCTTTGGAGGTGCTGGGCCTCAGCATGCCTGCGCAATTGCTAGGTCATTGGGTATGAAAGAAGTACTTATACACAGGTTCTGTGGAATCTTAAGTGCTTATGGGATGGGATTGGCAGATGTTGTAGAAGAGGCACAGGAGCCATACTCTGCAGTTTACAGTCTTGAATCGGTTCAGGAGGCCTCTCACAGGGAAGCTATTTTACTGAGTCAAGTAAGGCAGAAGCTGCAAGAGCAAGGTTTTAGAGATGAAAATATGACAACAGAGACATATCTGAATTTGAGATATGAAGGTACAGACACCTCAATCATGGTTAAGAAACGAATTACTGAAGATGGGAGAGGATGTAACTACGATCTGGACTTTGTGGAACTATTCCAGCAGGAGTACGGATTTAAATTACTGAATAGGAATATCCTAATATGTGATGTTAGGGTTCGCGGTGTAGGAGTCACTAATATATTGAAGCCCCTGGCGCTAGAACGTACTTCATGTTCTCCTAAAGTTGAAGGTAATTACAAGGTTTATTTTGGAAATGGGTGGCAGGAAACACCTCTATACAAGCTTGAGAAACTGGGGTATGGGCATAACATGGCTGGTCCGGCAATAATCATGAACGGGAATAGTACTGTGATAGTAGAACCTAACTGTAAAGCTATAATAACTAAATATGGTAACATTAAAATTGAAATTGACTCTACTTCAAGCGCCATGAAAGTGGTGGAAAAAATTGCTAATGTTGTGCAGCTCTCAATCTTCAATCATAGATTTATGGGTATAGCCGAACAGATGGGAAGGACCCTGCAGAGAACTTCTATATCAACTAACATCAAGGAACGACTAGATTTCTCTTGTGCCCTCTTTGGACCTGATGGGGGACTAGTTGCTAATGCCCCTCATGTCCCTGTGCACTTAGGAGCAATGTCAAGTACTGTTCGGTGGCAGATCAACTACTGGGGTGACAATTTGAGTGAAGGAGATGTTTTGGTCACGAATCATCCTTGTGCCGGAGGTAGTCATCTTCCTGATATAACTGTTATTACACCTGTCTTTGATAATGGAAAGCTGGTGTTTTTTGTGGCAAGTAGAGGGCATCATGCAGAGATTGGGGGTATCACTCCTGGAAGCATGCCACCTTTTTCCAAGTCTATATGGGAAGAAGGGGCTGCCTTAAAAGCTTTTAAGCTTGTGGAAAAAGGGATTTTTCAAGAAGAAGGAATCACTAAACTTCTTCGATTCCCCTGTTCTGATGAATTGGCTCAAAAGATCCCTGGAACTCGCAGGCTTCAAGATAATCTATCAGATCTTCGAGCTCAAGTAGCTGCAAACAAGAGAGGAATTACCCTTATCAAAGAGCTAATTGAGCAGTATGGTTTGGACACTGTTCAGGCTTACATGACCTATGTACAGCTGAATGCAGAAGAAGCAGTGAGAGAAATGCTGAAGTCTGTTGCTGCTAGAGTTTTATCTCAGCCATCTAGTTCTGGAGATAGGAGTTCTGTTACTATTGAAGAAGAGGATTACATGGACGATGGGTCCATTATTCATTTGAAACTTACCATTGATTCTGATAAAGGTGAAGCAAATTTTGATTTTAGTGGAACCAGTCCTGAAGTATATGGGAATTGGAATGCTCCAGAAGCCGTAACAGCAGCAGCAGTTATATACTGTCTTCGCTGCTTGGTGGATGTGGATATTCCTCTCAATCAAGGTTGTTTGGCTCCTGTGAAAATCTATATTCCACCAGGCTCATTTCTCTCTCCAAGTGATAAAGCTGCTGTGGTGGGTGGTAACGTTCTCACTTCTCAGAGAATAACTGATGTTGTACTTACTGCATTTCAGGCTTGTGCTTGTTCACAGGGTTGTATGAATAATCTCACTTTTGGGGATGAGACATTTGGTTATTATGAAACAATTGGAGGTGGAAGTGGAGCTGGTCCAACCTGGGATGGGACGAGCGGAGTCCAGTGTCATATGACCAATACCCGAATGACTGATCCAGAAATTTTTGAGCAGAGATATCCAGTTCTTTTGCATAAATTTGGCCTGAGAGAGAACAGTGGGGGAGTTGGATATCACAGAGGGGGTGATGGACTTGTGAGGGAGATAGAGTTCAAGCGTCCAATTGTTGTGAGCATTCTCTCGGAGAGGCGTGTTCACACACCAAGGGGATTGAAAGGAGGGAAAGACGGGGCTCGTGGGGCTAATTTCCTAATCACACAAGATAAACGAAGGGTTTACCTCGGGGGTAAGAACACAGTTGAAGTGCAGCCAGGGGAAATTCTTCAGATTTTAACTCCTGGTGGTGGTGGATGGGGCTCTCCTCTTTGATTCTTCACGGTGCCAAACTGTTTGATGCTGAGTCTTGTCTGGTTTGTCTAGCATGTTTCTCATTTCATATTTTTCTAGTAAAATTTTGAAAGTATTTGTGGTCACCACCATGTTCTGGGCATGTTATTATGATTTCAAAAGAAATCCGTTGTGTTTTTTATATTCTATGGACCTCTGTACATCTTGGGTTCTCTTGACAGCTTGGGGAAGGGACAATTTCCGTTTTTTCCTTGACATTATTTATTTTCAGTTTTTAGGGGTAAATTTAGGTTTGAAATGTTATAACAAAATTGGACTTTGACTCAATGAAATAACATGACTTGCAGTGAGAGTCGT